AGCAGTCGCTTCGTAGAATTCGCTAGGCATGGTGTCCGCAAGTAGTTGAAAGATAGCAAGTGACATAAACGACAGTCGAATATGGCTCGCAACCAAAAAGAGATCATCGAGATGGGTCATCTCTATGTGTGGTGATGCTCTATGATATGAGGAAAAGTAACTAAGTGAACAATGTATGCTCGAACAATAAAGATGTGGTCGATTCGACTCTCATAAGCCCTAGTGAGTCAGAGCAGAATGACAATGGAAAGTCTCGATAAAAAATATAAGCACCTGCGTGCTTTTCGCATAGAGTCTCGTGAACCTTCGCGCCGCACAGGAATAGCGATTGATAGCTGCCAGCCGGAAGATACGTCTACAATATCCCACATAGCTTTAGGTATCGCAGCTGGACGGGATACCAGTACAAAGAAACGAATCAGACAGTGCTTGAAAGTGAGGCGTGAAAATGGAGAGATTCACAAGAAAGAAGTGGCCAACCAGTGATTACCTCAAAGTACGCTGATTGGTAGGCCGAGAATAGTTGCAATGAAGCGACGGAGCAAGTGGCATGCACGACAACACTTGACTTAATCTGGGTGCTCCAACTTATAAGCGAGTTAATAACAGTAGGTCGTAGAAATTGGGTGCGCTGTGTGATGGGAGTATACACTCGAACGAACGTGCGGTGCCAGTCCAGCAAGGAAGCCGTTAGGCTGCCGCAAAACGACATCCGAGGAACCACGAACAGTGTCCGGCGTGGGGCCGCATTTGTGTCAAATGTGGGAAGCGCAATCACTTCGAACGCTGCTGTCAGTCGACAGATGTCAGTGCACTCGTTCCAGACAAATCAACAGAAGACACCGAACAATCGATTGGTAACGTGTCTCGGAAAGCGTCGCAGAAGTGTGTCTATGCAAGTCTTCTGATCGAGAGACGGTCTGTGCGATTCCAGTTAGACACAGGCGAGACGATCAATATTTTGCCCAAAAAGCACTGCCGCGGCGTGCAAATTCAATCGGATCAAGATTATTTGCGCATGTAGAATGGTTCCAGACTCAAGCCAAAGGGTTCAGCGACAACTGAAGTTGTCAATCCGAGAGACGGTGTTTCGCATCGTCTGCAGTTCGTGATCGTGGATGAGGATCTCACGCCGATTCTCGGCATTGATTCGACTTTATCTCTTGGCTTTGTCATTTTTAATCATGATCGTTTTGTGTACGCTTGTCAGAGTGAAGCCGATGTTAGTGACCTGTATCCGTCTGTGTTCAGCCCGGATTTAGGGGAATTCGAGGGTATCGCTCACCTGTCGTTAGATTCTTTGGTACGCCCGATTGCGTTACCTGCTAGGAGAGTCCCATTTGCGCTACGTGACCGATTTTCCGCGGAATTGAACAAGCTGGTTATGCAGGGTGTGATTGCAAAGGTTGATGAGCCAACAGACTGGGTTAGCCAGGTCGCAACCATTACGAAGAAAAATGCCGAACTACGCGTATGTATAGACCCGAAGCCACTGAATGAGGCCCTGCGTAGAGAACATTATGCGCTACCGACGTTAGAAGATGTTTTACCGCGTTTGACAAAAGCTAAGGTTTTCACGAAAGTAGACCTTTCTTCCGCATTCTGGCACGTTGTTCTAGACGACGAATCCAGTTTCCTCACCACATTTGCTACACCGTTCGGACGTTATCGTTGGCTGCGATTACCGTTTGGCCTGAAGGTGTCCAGCGAAATTTTCCAAAAGCGTTTGGTGCAAGCAATAGATGATTTAGATGGCGTAACCTGTGTGGCAGATGACGTTCTGATTTACGGTTCTACCGAAGAAGAGCATGACACTAAGCTACACCGGTTCCTGAGGCGTTGCGTGCAAAAGAACATCAAGCTAAAACGCGAGAAAGTAGAGCTGCGGAAAGAGGAGGTGATTTTCCATGGGCATGTGTTAACATCCGACGGAATCAGAGTTGACCCAGGGAAAATTAAGGCGATACAAGAGATGCCGTCCCCTAACGATGTGAAGGCAGTCCATCGCCTAAACGGTATGGCGAATTATTTAAGCCGGTTCCTACCAGGACTCGCTGATGTCATGACTCCGATTAGGCAGTTAACTCACAAAGGAGTAAATTGGAGCTGGGGGAAGGAACAGGATTTGGCTTTTGAAACCATTAAGAACCTGATCAGTAATGCGCCCGTACTCGGATATTACGATCCAGCACAACCATTGGAGGTACAGTGTGATGGTAGCCAGAGTGGAATAGGTGCTGTTCTGTTGCAGAACGGAAGACCTTTGGATTTCCGCAGTCGAGCACTCAGAGAGGCCGAGAAGCGGTACGCACAGATCGAGAAAGAGATGCTGGCAGTGGTCTATGCCATGGAGCGTTTCAATGGTTATACTTTTGGAAGAAAGACAACCGTGTACACTGATGATAAGCCGCTGGTGTCGATAGCCACCAAACCACTGAATAACGTTCCTCGCCGTCTGCAGCGTATGCTTATCCGGCTCCAAAAGTATGACATTGACATTGTGTACACACCTGGCACACAGATGTTCATCGCGGACACCCTGTCGAGAGCACATCCGCCAGAAGAGATCGAGACAGTTAGCATGGTGCAGCATCTGGCAGTGACAGAAAACCGTTTAAAAGACATAAGGCGTTTCACGGAGGAAGACCAAACTTTTGCAGCTTTGCGAGACGTTATCCTCAATGGGTGGCCAGAAACAAAAAAGCAGCTCCCGAAGGAATTAACACCCTACTTCAATTTTCGGGACGAACTCACTGTTTGTGATGGTCTGTTGTTCAAGGGAAGTCGAATCCTAATCCCTTCTTCTCTCCGAAAGGAGATGCTGGTGCATGTCCTTCGCCCTCACCTGTGTGCAAATTACACCATTAATCGAGCAAGAGAACTGATGTTATGCCAAGAAAAACAGGTCAGATCAAGGATCATGTGTCTAACTGTGAGGCGTGCCGTTCTCATGACATTCGGCAAACGAAGGAACCTATGATGCTGCATGATGTTCCGGACCGACCGTGGCAAAAGGTAGCAGTGGATCTATTCTGGGACAACGGAAAGGATTACTTACTCACGGTGGACTACTATAGTGATTACTTTGAAATCGATTTACCCAACACCAATACCACGGAGGCAGTAATCAACAAACTCAGATGTCAATTCGCACGGCACGGGATACCGGAGGAGCTAGTCTCGGACAACGGTCCCCAGTTCAGCAGCAGGGCATTCCAGGTTTTCGCAACCAAATGGGAATTCGCACACCGGCAAACCAGTCCCTATCACAGTCAATCAAATGGGAAGGCAGAGTCGGCAGTGAAGCAAGCCAAGCGACTATTAGCGAAGGCTAGAGATACTCGGGAGGACCCATACCTCATGCTACTGGAGAGTCGCAACACTCCTTCAACGGATATCGGCCTGAGCCCAGTGCATCGCCTACACAGTCGAAGGACCAGAACTGTGATGGCTACATCCGCAACACTTCTGCGCCCTGTCACGCCACAATTTGAGAAAGTAAAGAACAGTTTGAAAAGGCGAATAGCTACTCAGAAACGGTACGACGACAACGGCGCACGGGGATTACCTGAGCTGACAGTGGGGGAAGAAGTGTGGGTTGAACCAATTCCCGATGGACAGGAGCGGTGGAGAAAAGGAATCGTGGCTGCGAGTCGGTGAAAGGTCATACGAAGTAAATGTTGGAGGGAAGAAGCTGAGAAGAAACCGAGTACAGCTGAGATGTCCGAGGCGACAGCATGAATCAGGGAGGGAGCGTTATACGGCGTGCAACAATGAGGCGACATCGGCAGATCCAACAAAGAGGACGCGGAGTGGTAAAGTGTATGGACTATTTAGCAAAGTACAGCAGCAAGAACATGAAAAAAGGGAGGATGTGATGGGAGTATACACTCGAACGAACGTGCGGTGCCAGTCCAGCAAGGAAGCCGTTAGGCTACCGCAAGGAAAGGCGGCAGACGATTGGACGTTCACACGTTTCTCGCATGCACGCTGATTGGCAAACAGTTGGACGCATTGGAGTTTGTTTGACTGAATCAAAGGAAAAATGTCATGCATTCATAAAGGTCGTTAATTATGGATCCAACTAGCTGTATATACCGATATGTTTCACTCGCCCTCTGCCTGCGTTTTCGCCTGGTCCTGTTGTTTGCAGAATATACGTTTTGTCCCTGAAGGACCGACTTTTTACACGCTGTACATGATATACGCAGTGCAGGGGATACGAGAAGCGAGGTAGAGCCCTACAAGATGATGGGCAACAATAGTCATGGCAATTCTATGAAAAACAAATGAGATTGGCGGAATGCGGTTCCGGATTAGCCAGGCACAACAGCTTCCAAGAAGAAATATAGATTACCCGCGTCTACAGAGGGGCCATGGATGGCTAGCGAGACACCACACACAGCTTTACCCACACACTCTATATCCAATGTAAACCGGAACAGATAAAACCAGAAGGAATGTCGATAAGAGCCAGATCTAATCAACGTGCCGCACAGCAGCATTCCTGTCTACCTAAATTGGAAATCATGCGTCATTAACGTACACAAGACAGTGGTTGGGCCCTAGTCCGCTCCACAATGGATGCATGGAACCATTCCTTAAGCCTAGCAAGGCCACGAGGACGGTGCCCCAAGACCGCCCCAGCAACGATTAGCTGACTGCTGGAGATAGCAGTCAAGATGGAGAGTGCTAGAAAGGTAGAGACCTAATGAACATACACATCAAACGTGTCCACACCTCGGATATAAAAAGCGAACACAGAGTTCGAAGGAAAATAAAGGTGCAAAACTGACGAGGCATATAGAGCTGAATAACAGAACCAGGTAGATCAAAGGAAGTAGAATACATGTATGTAGTCTAAGAAAATCTAGTTAAAGTGTAAGTCGGTGCAGCCCAGCAGCAGCAAAAAAGCCTGATGCATGCACCAACAACCTCTGCAGGAGGCATTCGAAACAAATAACAACAGAGTTAAACCTAACAGGTAACTCGGCACTTACCCGAATGAACAACGCGGATGTGTTTTCGGAGAGCATCAGATCGCGAAAGTAATTTGCCACAGAAGCTGCAGATATTCGGATTTTCATCTGAAACAGAAAGCAACCAAGAACAAAGGTTCAGCATTCAGCAAGACAATAAACCATCGATTAGCTGTATATTTCCTCAGTCGCATGTCCCCGAGTGTCACGAACAAATACAAATACCATCGGAACGTAATATTCCCAATTTGTTGATCTACGAAGTAATTGGATCAACGCAATGTAGTCAGGATCCGTGCATCTCATGGCTCCGGACAAAGCGGTACCACCACCAAACACCGACAATTCTTTGCACACCACAAACTTCAATGAGTGAGACCAAGCCGAGGCAGCAGCTGATGACTGAGACACAAGGATGGGTGAACTGCAAATAGGCGAACGTGAACTCCGTGGTCAAAGTGACCAACGGTGAACGTACACGTTGTTGCCAAGCAGACCCAAGACAACATCTAAGAGGCCGCTTAGGGGTCGACGAACGCCAAATAGACAATAGCAATAGATTCCTGCAACTACGCGCCGAACACAATTCGTATGGTAGCAGTACCACTCCAAAGCATAAACGTTCACAGCGTGTCACTGACGCCCCACAAACTCTTCAATTACCTAGTCGGAAATGCATTATGCGACCATAAGCTATGTATGATACACATCAGCCCAAGACTACATGAGAACGTGGAGAAGGCATCCAGATTCCGACCCTGCTCTAGTGCGCGCACGTTTGGCACCAACTATATCCGCTCCAAAGAAGCGCCTAACTTCTTTCTTGCCTGTAACCAGAACACCATGTCAAGTTCGACAATGTCAATGCGAATTGGTCCACCAATTGTCAGCAACGAATGAGGTTGGTGAGTCGAACGTTTACTGTGATCGTCTCAACCGTGCCACGGTGAGTGCTTTTGACGCCTGTTGGGCATCTAAGTTGAATGGATCTCTGAGGCGTCGATCAGTTCGATCGAAGCACGAGAACAGGCGCCAATAAGTCGTGAGTTTCATCGCATCCACTAAGAAAGGTAACGACGTCTGACAAGCGGTTTTCGAACCCACCGGCAACGTCAGTGATTAACAAGGAAATATGAGATGAAGGAAGTCGGAGCTATTGGAAACAGCCGAGTGTTGTTCCCGCTCATCCGGAGCAAGGGCGCCAGGAAGCCCTGTTAGTGAAACGATAGCTGAGATAGATAAACATATGTTCCGTGCTCAGCCACGTCGACTAGTCCGTTGGATGGGATATTTTGAAGCGCATTTCAGTAGCATGAGGCGACACTGCAGCTTGCCGAATCAAGTGAGCCAACGTGGGAAGCTGGAGTCACACCTCCCACTTCAGAAGAGAATCAACATGGTCTTACCACACGGAAAGGAAACAAAGCTCCTGTACCCGATGACCTTCTACCTTCGATGTCAAAAGTTAGAGGTGAGTCTTTGTTGACTGTACTTGATGTTCAGTCGAACACGATAAGGGACACTGAAGATGTGTCTCCAAACTAGCGATAATAAACCGCCGTGCTCATGTTCAAGAACGGTCAGCGTAGTTCATGCGAGAAACATTGAGGTATTAGACGTGTTCCCATTGCTTCCAATGTTCTCACGGGTACCATTCTTTGAGGACTTACTGGTCCCAGTTGGAACTGTATCATTGAAAGCCAGACTGCTTTTCACTCTTGTCGTGGTTATCTGGACCATATATATGCTCTTCGTAAAGTGCTAGAGAAGCTACAATGGACTATGTGGTTTTCCCCTGACCTGAAAGACGCCTACGACTATGTCGATCGCGATAGTTTGTGTCACCGTCTATCCAAAGAGGGCCAGCCAGCTAAACTCCTTTGTCTTCTGAATTCTCTGCGTGAATCGCAATACCGTATAAGGGTCGACGGTAAGCTGTCTTCTGAGTTCCCAAAGAAATAGAAAAACTCACTTTACATGGCAAGTGAATGCTTATATAACGGGCTTATCTACTCACAATGGTTTTGGACTTGCTCATATTTGGTGGGAACAGCGGATAAACCGCACCTTGTACTCCACTTCATCTGACGATGTCAGTCGTGTCAAATGGATGCACCGCACTTCGGTGCTCGAATCAAAGTTGTTCAAGTCAGTGGAAACCGATATTAAGTCTAGTTATTTTCTGACCGTCACAAGCGACTGGTTCCAATAATAATGCCAAAGTGCTTGCTAAATTTATTTTCAATGATTAAAACCAGGTTCTTGAGCTAATTCATAAGAGAAATAGAGCTACTACGGAACAATTAGATGGTTCACGTAATCTGGATTTTGTCAGAACAGCAGTCGGGGGAGCCCACAGAGAAGAGGACTGTGAGTCTCTGAATTCGCAGGCCGAAGCCGGAGTCCACAGAAATGCAGTCGCCAAAAGCATCTCCGAACACCTTTGAATCCTTGTGGCAAGGATCTACATGATTCCAAGGACAATAGACTTCAGAACAGTCAATGAAGACAAAGCAGGATGTCTCCGTGAAACCAAGGGAAGCATCTTGCGGATTGGCCTTTGATGTGGTGACGGTACCACATGTTACACAACAAAGTATTAGGGAGGATAAACTTCTAAAGGCATGTTTAAACATGTAAACAAAAGCTTAAGAAATTACTTTGAAGAAAAGACAGAGACAAACAACCACAGTTTAAGGAGAAAAATTTTGCTAACATTCATTCACTGAGTAGCAAATTCGAGAGCTTTTCGAATCAGGGTTTATATATATATATATATATATATATATATATATATATATATATATATATATATATATATATATATATATAGGGTTGACGGCATCTAGTCTCGGATTTGCCTGCCACTATGGACTTTACAGGGACAGCCACAGGACGCCTGCGCCTACAGAGGGACCATGGATGGCTTGTGCTGCACCACCCACAGCTCCAACCACAACCTCATATTCAGTTTACACCCGAAGGAATAAGACCGGGAGGCACGTGGATGAGAGTAACGTTTCATCAACGGAGCCGGCCCACAATCCCTCACAGTCAAACACAAGCACGCCATATTTGGGTACCATGTGCACACAAGGCGGTGGATGGACCGTAGTCCGCTCCACACTGAGTGTATGGAACCACCCTTTGATCCTAACGCGGCCACAAGGACCATGCATCCCGTCCCCTCCAGCAACGACCAACTGTCTCCTAGAGTCAGTAGGGACGATATACTGGGTAACAGGCAGGCAGGCACCTTGTCAACATGCACATCAAGCGCAGCCACACCGGGGATATCAAGCAACAGCCCATCACTTGAGAGAAAGTTAAGCAAGAAAATAATAATAATAATAATAATAATAATAATAATAATAATAATAATAATAAGGGAACGGTGACATAAATCTTAAATTAATGAGCATATGAAATAAGTTGTTTAAAAAAGTATCCGAGGTCAGAAAGTACATATTTTACGGAAATGCCGCAAACACGAAAATGTTATCGAAATTAACTACAATTGGCTTAGACGACGTGAGCAAGTTTATGGAAGAGAGTACTGGCCCCGAGTGGCCTTGCTCATGTCTCACTAGGCCTGCCTGGCTCAGGCACCTGCGACCGCATGTGCTGCAGTACCATGCGCTCGATTCCGATGGAGTACAACCCCTCGGCTCCTGTCGCTTCCGCAGTTGCTGCTTTTTCTCCTCCTGCACGAGGGCTTTCTCTTGAACCTTAGCAACGGCTTTCAGATAGCGCCATGGACGTCGATCAACCGCCTTCGATTCCCATGACCTACAATCAAGATTTGAACCGGAGAGGCTCACTTTGATCATGTCCTGAGAACGTAACCTCGGTTTCTCCATATGCCGCTTCCCAACATGCAGCTGACCACATAATACCTCCTTCGGTATCCGCATCGAATCCATACGCCACACATGACCGAGCCATCTAAAGTGGCTCAGCAAAACTATGTAGTCCCCTGCATACATTTCACTTGGGCGCAACACTTCCGTGTCTGCAACTCTGTCGCACCAACCGATGACCCAGAATCCGTTGCAAACACTGTAGGTTGAACCGCTCAAATTATCGCACATCCCGCAGGTACATCGTCTACGTTTCGCTGCCGTATAGAAGAAAGGAAAGCACCGTCGATTTGTACACCATGTATACATTTGTATTGCGGCATAGTAGCTGAGGTGTTTCCCACCTTTGGCTAACGTGTATAATGAATGATGATGAATGACACCATCAGCGTCGTGCCAACGGTAAGCTGGTGGTTGTTCTACACTCGGTACTCAAGCTTCCCGAATGCCGACGCGGCCTTCGAGTCGCGGATACGAAGCTCACTGTGTAGCTGCTGATCAGTCGACATCACATTCCCAAGGTAGCAGAAGCGGGAGGTGGTTTCCAATACTTCAGCACCAATACTGATTCGCGGCAATATTGAAGATTGCACCTCCGGTGAAGGCTGAAAGAGACAGACAGTATTGCTTGTGTTAATGGTGAGCTCGAATTTGACCGCTGTCGAAGCCAGAGCACAAATCATGTGCTGCAACTCATCCGCGCTGTGTGCAAACAACGCACAGTCAACAGCAAACAGCAACATACAGATGGTTGTCTCGCCGACTAGGGTTCTCGCACCGAAACGACGGATGTCCACCAAACCACCATCAATACGGTGCTCCACACGAACACCGTAAGCACAAGCGGCATCAAAAACACAAGACATCATTGCATGAAGATAGATATTAAACAGGGCAGGAGCTAAGACACAGCCTTGCTTCACACCAGAGACAACTGTAAAGTCATCAGAGGTCTCTCCACTCAGCTGCACCCTCGCTCGCATACTACGGTGCAGACATTCAATTAAATTTGCAAATTTACGCGGATAACAAAACTTACCCAACACCAGTCACAATGCCACGCGGTTAAACGTATCAAATGTCTTGGTGAAATCAACAAAAAGCGAGTGCAACGGCTGGTGTCGTTCTCTACACTTGTCCTGCAACTGACGAGCCGCAAACACCATATCTATAGTGCTGCGAGTCGAGCGGAATCCACACTGCCCTTCCGCCACGTTAGGTTCCACAACCTGACTGAGGAAGCTGTGG